AGAGAGAGAGAGAGAGAGAGAGATGTCATCTTATATAATAAATTAAAGTACATAACATTTTTTTAATGATAGTATCGTTATTAGTTATAAATTATATTTAGTATATTTGCTATTAATATATTAGTATTATAAATTTATAGTGATGGGATAGTTTTTTTTTGTATAGTTATCAAAATCATATTAAAATTTTTAGCTATATTGTTATTTAATGATATATATATATATATATATAAAATCAAGATTTTTAATCGATAACCAACAAACAAAAGTATAATATTTTGTACACAAAAAAATCATTTATTTAAGTATACTGTATATCTATCTATATAACATTATTAAAAGTTTGTTTTTAACTATTTTTAAAAGTAAAGTAAATTGTTGTCTCCCATATAATATAGTATATACAAAATGATAATATCAATCAACAACAACAAAAATTGGTGAAATTTAATTTGTTAGCTAACACTTGTGATTGCAATTTATATTTTTATTGTTAGTTTTACTGTAGTTATTATTATTATTATTACTTTTTTATCCAATTCAAGTGCTTAAAAAACTTACACCACTGAGAAAAATGACAGTATATTAACAGTAAAATTATTAACTTATTAATAATTTGATTGATTATAATTGGATATTTACTTATTTTTATTATTATTATTATTATTACAAATAGTATTATGCAATACAAAAAAAAATGTTATTTTTAAAAAACATAAAATTTAAAATCTCAATATAATTGTTAAATACGAGATTTAATTTTTTCTTTCTTTATAATGCTTAGCATTTTTAATATTACTTAAAATTATTATTATTATTATATTTGTATTATTTTACAAATTAAATAATTTAAAATAGATGCATTTTTTGAAAAAAAACATAAATTTACTAAATATTTTTGTCAAATATAATTATTGTTATTTATATTATATAGTTGTTAATATATAATTGTTGAATAATATATGTTGTTGTTTTGATTTAAAAAAAAATTATGACATATTTGAAAATTTTGTTTTGTTTTGTCACACTATTTAAAAAAAAAATTATAAATAAAATGATTAATTAAGTTATGAAAACATAAAGAAAATAAAATTTTATGAAATGAAATGTTTTAAAAAATGTTTTTACAGTTGAAGTTCAAGGTTTTTATACATTATATATATATATATATATATATATAGTTTTTAACATCCATGTCGTTTAATAAATCAACTGTAAATGTTTGTTGCAATGTTGATGACTATAACGGCTCACAAATCAAATTAAAACACAAAAATTTTTTCGGTGAAAATCATTATCATAATTAACATCTTTTAATAAATACAGTATAGTATATATACTATAAATATAAGTAATAAACTTATTATATTAGACAGTGGCAACAGTTTATTTTTATCCACACAAAAAAATATAAACAAAATAAAATAAAATTTTATGATTATTATGATATGATTATTATCGTTACTATTTTTTTTAAGAGTAATACCTAAAAACAAAATAAATTTGTCGTTTATAATAATATATTAATACTAATATTAATACTGTATTATTATTTGCAATGTGTTTTAATATAATTTATATATATTTATTTTTTGTGTAAAATAATTTATTTTATTTGTTTTCTTTTCGTTGAAAAAAATAATATTAATAACCAAAAAATAAATAAATGGCAAATAATAAAATAAAAACAACAATTTTTATCATTTCACTTCATTTTACTTTAATCAATTGCAATTAGCTTTTTTCGTATAGGAGTCAATAAACTTTAAATAATGATAATAATAATAAAAACTATATTAAATATTCACAAAAAAATAAATAAATATTCATTTTTATTGATTATCATTATTATTATTTAAAGTATTAACTTATAATAAGTTAATATATATATATATATATATTGTATATAAACTCCTTTTCATTTTACTATATTTGATGTATAGCTGCTGTATATCTGGCAAAAACTATTTGTTTTTATTTTGTTTTTTATTATTATTATTATTATTTAAACTTATTTGTTAAGCCTTTCGACAAAATAATTATAACTTTTCTTTTATTATTATTATTATTATTTTATTTTGTTTTGTTTCTCTTTATATTATTATAAATACCATTGAAAGAGCAATGAAGCAAATGTTTTGTTTTATTTGTTTGAATTGTTTGGTTATTTTGTTTGGGCAAAGAAGTACAGGAATGTCATGTTTTCTTCGACATTAAAATTTATAATAAAATTTTTAAAAAAATAATAATAATAATTTAAACCAACAACAAAAAAATAAAGAGATGATAAAGGCGTCAATCTATTAAATATGTAGAATAATGATAATAATAATAATAATATAATGAAAAAAAATAAATTAAATTTTTAAAAAATCATATTAACAAAAAAATTATGGCAATTGATATGTATTATTGAAATTATATATATACTATTAAAACTAGTAGTACTATGGTATAAGCAAAATGGTTTTTTTATTAAATACTATATATAAATTTCAATGTATTTAAATATTATATAATGTATGAGTTTTATCAGTTTCAATAATAATAATAATAATAATAAAAATATTTCAATTCAATTCAATTAGATTTTTTTGAGGGTTAGATTAAACGTGTGATAGATATAATAGATAACTACAGTATGTTTTTTATTTTTATTTTAGTATTTTAAACGATAATAATTGCGCCCATCACTGAATTTTCACGATTTAAATATTATGAAAGCAATAAATTGATTTGTGTTTTTAAAATATTTATTAAAAAAAACAAAATGTTTTTTTTTTGAAAATTTTTAAACAGTCAATCCGTCACTAATCCCAATGCAAATTGAATTGAATCGACAAATCATGACTTTTTTTAGTTGCATATTAACTGTACTTTATTTTTGAGCCCATCAACTAATTTATAATTTTTGAAAAAAAATATTTTATAATATTAGTACTATATATACAGTATATACATGTATATACATAACTGCACTATCAGTACAATCAGTCTAATCATGTATTAAATTATTTTGTTAAACAAATATTTTAATAAATTATTATTTTATATATATTTTTTCTTTAATGATTACTTTATTTGTGTAAATATTCGCGCATATATTTAAATAGCAATTTTGTTGTTGATAAACTTAAATCAATTTTATTTCAACAGTTTAGTTAATAGTTTAACATTTTTAAAAAAATTGTTTTGTATATTACATTTTTGTGAGTTAACAAATATAAATCACTTTATACTGTATATATATAATAAACAATTATACTCTATGTAACCTTTATATTAAAATTAATTAACTAAATTAATTTCACATAATGTTATTTGGTGTCTAATATCCAATTACATCCGATACATCAACAAAAAAAAACTATACCAGAAAATCATTACTTGTTTACCCWTCAAAWCAAACAAACAAATAAAAAAACATTTTTATTTAATTTCTATCGATAATTATTTTTATGGATTGAAAAAAAGTTTTAATAGTTGACAACACACACACACACACACACACACACACACACACACACACACACACACACACACACACACACACACACATGTAGTTATATAATATAACATTAATATAAGTTACTGTATATTACTTGTTAGTAATAGTATTGCCATTTTGTGTGTGTGTGTGTGTGTGTAGTGTAGTGGTGGTAGTGTCTGATAACCGGCCGATTGTTGTCTGTATTAAATATTTTATATTTATATAAAAAAAATCTGCCAAACATTTGCCAATTGGTACTAATATTACTGTATTATACTGTATAACGTAAATCACACATCTCTTAACAAATGACAGTTCAGTTCAATTATTTTTTTATCTCTCTCTCTCTCTCTCTCTCTCTCTCTCTTTCTCTCTCTCTCTCTCTCTCTCTCTCATTGATAATGATTTTTAATCAACAATTTTGGTGGTTTTTTTTACTATAAATATTTTCTTTTCATTAATAAAAAACACACAAATCAGTGGTTAGATAACAAACAAACAAAAATCATAAGTAAATCAATATATATGGTATATCCGACGCGTAACTGATTTTAATACTCGTAAAGTAATAAACAATTTCAAAATAAAATATTATTATTATTTTATATTATTTATATACCGTTATTTATATAATAATAATTCATACAATATATATATATATATTAAAAAAATATTTTTGTAGTAATATCTTTATTTCCTATAAATATAAGTTTTGTGTTGCATAACTAATATAAAATTTATATACCGTATATATATATTTATTAAATATTTTAGGTAATAATAATACTACTAATACTAATAATAATGTAGTATTGTTTTAAACATATTTATTAAACAAAAAAGTAGACACAAAATATGATAGATATTTGAAAAACTTATTTGTTAGCACTTTATTATTTCTAAATAAACTATATATGTATTTATTTAAACTTTTTTGTTGTTTGATTATCGATTAGCACTTTATTATTATTTTTGTTTGCATAATCTTTTTTTTGAATAACTTTATAATAGATTTATATTTTAATAATAATAATAATAATATTTATTATTAATATTATGAATGATTGATTTTTTTATTATAAAAAATATCCTCAAATATTCAATATATTATATAAAAAAAATATTAATCCCTATTTAATTTGTTGTTGTTGTTTGACGAAAAAAATATGCAATTGTGTGCAAATGTTTTTCACATGTTTTTTTTTGTTGATTTCACACAAATCAGTCATCAAAAAATTAGTAAATTTATAATTAATATTTATTTTTTTAAAAAATAAATAAAAGTGAGTGATTATAATGAATGCAATGCAATGCAAAACATTTTATTATTATTATTTTTTCCTGTACTGTATATTAACGATACATTTAAATGTATAGTTAAATAATAGTCAATAGTATTTGCCATTGCATTGCGTTTGCGTCAAACCATATGTATTATAATATACAGTATAATAGTATTGTTAATAACAAAACATGTGTTTCACACCAAAACATATATAATATTATAAACAAAAACAATGCGTGACTTTTAATTGAGATTTGAAAACAATAATAATCTAACCATTGATTTGATGGCTTAATCCCAGACACAGACAAACAAACAAACAAACAAAAGATGTGTTTGAATAACAACTACAAGACAAGCGATGACAACAACAACAACAACAACAACAACACATCCGTGATTAAGACAGTTTGCCGGCTATTGACTGATAGGATCGGCAATAGATTTGCGGTGTTTGCCGCCTCCGCCGCCACCGCTGATGATGACAATATCATCAGAGATAATATCATTGCCGACACTGATATTCCCACCACTGATGACAACAACAACAAGAAGTTTATCAACGAGTTTGACAACAATAGCAAAGCGTATACGGATTTTATCGGTTCGCTAACCATTTGGCAGAGTATTAAGTATTTATATCAACGAAAAGTGGACACCAGTGCCGATGATTATCGGCGACAGTTTGTCAAAGATAACGAAACCGGTTACGATAGGATACGACTGATGTGGTCGGAACATTTGGACGGCGAAGACAATCCCGAAATATCATTTATAATGCAATCGGTAGCCTACGGCGCAATGGGCGGCTTTCTCTACGGCGGTCTTGTCAACAACAAGGCTGCCATCTTTGACTTTGTCCGCCGACACAACGACTATGTCTTTCGCGGCCATTTCGAAGGCCAACGTCGTATACGGGACGCGATGTTCATAAATCTTGGCCGACACGGCTGGCGGTGGTGTTGGCGAATGGCCCTGTTTTCTGGTGTACTATCGACACTGACCACAACGGCCATTACCTACCGAAACGATATCTACTATCGCGACTGTTGCGCTTCGGGTGCCCTATTGTGCGCGGCCTGGAAAATGAAATTAGGTTTGAGGGCAATGGCCGTATCCGGTGTACTCGGATCGATCATTGGTGCCCTTTTTGCTTCGGGCGCCAAACTGGCCATCTGGTCGTTCAATACATCGGTTCCCGAGTACCGACACTGGCGTCACGTTCGCTATCAGAATCATTTGGCTGTCCATAACTATAGCGACGGTAACAGTGAATACAAGTGGCGTACAGACAATCAAAAAGATTCGGTTCTTCTCTATCAACCACAACAACAACAACCATCACAACCACCGCAACAACAAACAGGTCAACAGTCAAACACTTGAGTGATAATTAGCTAAAAATTTTGTTTCACTATATAGACAGAGTTAACGAAAAAAAAATGTTAGTTTTTTTCCTGCCGTTAAGTAGGAGACAAATTTTTTTTTAGTTTTTGATAAATTGTTAGGAAATAAAATGATAGATTGAAAAAAACTAATATAAAATTTTTGTGTAAATTTGTTTAAGTTTATTGTGAATACCACTTAACTACTATTACTTCTACTACTACTACTACTATCAGTACAGGTATAAGTGTACGGTAGTTATGTCGGGGGATTTGAATTAATAGGCATTGTTTGGGCTAAAAAATATATATATACTGTATGTATATATACGGTATTAGATATATAATCAAATGATTTTTTTGAAAGCTTAAATCTTTTTCTCACTTTGAATGCTATTATATTTTTTGATTTGAATGCTATTTGAGATTTATTTATTTATTATTAGTATACAATCAAAATGTGTATATATATAAAAAAAATTAGATGAAAGAAAATTGCTTTCCTCTATGTGTTATATAACGAGAAATGGATTTTTTTATATATGTATACATAAAAGGCAAACACAACACAAAAGATTTGATTTTTTTATATTTTATTTTTTAAAAGCTCTCTCTCAAGACATGTCCTGAAATGTAAGTCAAATCAGTCAAAGAAAATAAGTTAAAAGTTTTTTTTAAAAGTAACAAAATAGTAGTAAAATGGCTTTTAAATAGATGTCAAAATATTAAAGTACGCAAACAATTGTAATAATCATACGGTTGTTTTGTTATTGTAATCATAAAGTCATAAATAATATAATATATAGTTTTATATATAAATTTATATACTGTAGTATAATATATAATACATACAAAAGCGTTTAGTGCAAACACACTCCTGGACTCCTGTATTATTTCAAAATGATTCAATTGTTACCGTTTTCCCCACACATTAATGTTTTATCAGGAATGTACAGGAAATTTATATATATTTTTTAAAAATGCTTTTATTATTTTTATATAAAATTTATATATATATAGTTCTTATATAGTATAAAGTTTTATAATTGGATTGAAAAAAATTGTCTTAAATTTCTAAAAATGTTTAGTTATCTAAGTACTTATACAGTATATTGAAATTATTTTGAATACTTGTATAACTTTATATATATAGGTAATTGTTGTAAAAGTTAACTATCATATTAAATAATATTGACTCTCTGAATACTCTCTCTCTCTCTCTCTCTCTCTCTAAATTTTATTACTGATGACCAGTAATTTAGTTTAATAAAAATTTGAATAAGATTATTTTCTATTTATAAATATATTATAATTTTTGGAAAATAATTATAACAAATTACAGTTTAAATAAATCACCAGTCTAAAAATAAATAACAATTTTTATCAAGCAAGTTTTTTATTTATATATATATATAATACATATATACTGTATATAAATCAATATATAAATCAAATAACTACAACAACTCGGGGCAGTAGTAGTTTGCGCGATCATACGGTAAAAGTATATACAGTACTACTTAAGCACAACTATCTTGTAATTGCTTTTATCGGTATTACAGATAAAATATATATATATATAAAAAACTCTGTGTCTCTTATATTAACCTTAACTCACTTCCGAGATATTAGAGAGAGAGAGAGAGAGAGAGAGAGAGAGAGAGAGAGAGAGAGGTAGACAAGGGTTGGCATATCTTTTTGCCAAATTAGTTGTCATATGAGATCTCATGAAATCATTTTCCCAGAACACCATTACTTATATTACATAACAGCACCACTACTACCACTACTACTACTAATACTGAATAAAAATATATTATTGTCTCTCTCTCTCTCTCTCTCTCTCTCTCTCTCTCTCTCTCTCTCTCTCCTGTAAAGTAAAAAAAGTCACTTATAAAAGACAAATATTATATATCTTATATCAAAAACTTACATAAACTTTAAAAAGTTTTTTTTTCTTCGTCGTCGTTGTTGTTGTTATTGTTATTTTATGTTTTGTTTTTTGAATGAAAATAATAATTATTTTAAACAAAACCAAAACATACACATAAAAAAAACTAACGAAAAATTTGCAGTCAGTTCTCAATATTAAATATATTTTATTTTCTTAAAAATATACTGTATTTTAAAAAAAAATTCATTAACAAAACTGTTTTTTAATTACTTTTTATGAGTATATATGTGTGTATTTTAATTTATTTTATTTGTGTTTTTATTATTATTTTTATTTATTATTTAAAAAATTTTATATCCTAACACTGATACTGTGTGGTAGTATATTGTAAACTATATTATCATAAATAATTAAAAACAAATTTTTTTATGACTATTATTATTATTATTATTATTATTATTGCCATCATTATTCTGGTGACTAGACATTGACCGATATTAAAGTACACACAAAATAATAATTAAATAATTAATAAATTATAATATTATATATGCATAATTTTTGTTTGTTTGCATATATAACATACATGAAACTATATTTAGCACTTATTTAAAAATTTGATTCAATAATTATATTTAATAATATAGTAGTAGTGGACTAGTACTGAATACATATGCATTGCACACACAATTGTTTTTATTATTTTTATATTATTATTATTATTCAAAAAATATTATTTACTTATAATTTAATTATAATATCAAAAATAAATGTTGACTAACAAACATAGTTGAATTTTTTAAAACTTTAATATTATTGTTTTTTGTTGTTAATAAGTTTGCTAATCAAACAATTTTTTAAACAAATATATTTTTTATGTATTTTCAATTGCAATGTTAAAGTAAGTTATGTGAATAGCTTTTCATGTTTATTTAAATTATTATTTTTTTTAATTTAAATTAATTAATTAAAATTGTATATTCATGTAGTAGTAGTAGTAATCACAATAAGATTGACTAAATTTGTGTTGTTTTTTATTGAGTGTTATTTTTTTAAAAATATTAATAAGTTTTATAATTTTTATGACGCTTTTAACTCAAACATCGGGGGATACGTAAAAAATATTAGTGTATATTATACATTATATAATTTTTTTGTGGTATTATTATTATTATTATTAATAGTGTGGGAGAATAATGCGGTTATTTTTGATAGATTTTTTGAAATTTACGAAATATAATAAATTGTATATAAATTTTTATATATTTATATAAAAGAGAGGCCAAAGAGTTCCCAACTAATAATAATAATAATAATTTCTTGATTTTCAATGGGAAGTACTGTTACAATAAAAAATAATATCAAAAACTTATTACTGTATTATTAATATTAAATAATAATATTGACTACAATTACTTTGTGAACTACATATTTATATATATATATACAGAATATGTGTTGTTGTTATATTGGTATCTAATATATATACTGTATATCCTGTTATCCAAAAAAATGATATAACTGTTGTGTAAATTATTTAAAATTTAGTGTATTTTTTGCATATCTCAACAACAACAACAACAAAAAAAGAGAGCTATTACTAAAAAGTTATACATATAATAATATATATATAAGTTTTTTATAGCAAAAAAAACAACAACAAAAAAATTAAAATGAATAAATCAATAAACTGGATGTACTGTACTGTTATGTATAACAATAATATGTATATTAATATATCATATTAAATGTAAATCCCTTTTCCCAGAGCCGAAACAAACTAAGTTATAAATATATAACTTATATATATATAGTATATTTGTGGTCGACTATACTTTACCTGTAATTTGATTGCACCTGTGATTGCTATGTGAAGGTTAGGGGGTCATACCATACATATATATATAAATTTATGATAACTCTAGATGTAATTATTATTGAATATAATCAGCACTAATAGCCTCATGAACGGCCACACCCGCCACCACCACCGCCGCCGCTATTTATTATTATTTTCATATACAGGTATTTATATATACTGTATATATATATATATAACCTAACATTTAAAAATTGATTAGCAGATAATAATAATACTAATAAAGAAAAAAAATGCAAATGAATTGACACATTAGATATATTAAAAATCTATTTAATTATCATAATATATAGTATACAATACAATATATTTTTTGTAAGTTAATTGGATTAAACATTAAATAGCCATTCATTTCATAATTAACAATACATGACTTAACAGTTTTTTGTAGAGACTAACTAACATTAATGTGAATCTAATTAAGTATTTAAAACAAAAATAGTATTATTATTATTATTATGATTATTATTAGTACTATTTTTTTAAATGATATGAATTGTATGTATTTATGGCTCATGAAAATTAAATGCCTGTGATATGGGATCAGCTCTTCCGGACTCCGGAGTGTAGGCTGTAGTGGTTAGTATGTGTGTATGTATGTGCTCTGGGAACGGGTGGATTGTATTGTGTGGTTATTATATATATTTTATATTTATATATATATAGTTTTATAGTATTTGTATTACACAATACATTTTTTCTGGATGAGTATAAAAGGTGCAGAGAGGGTATGGGTATTATTATTATTATTATTAAAACATACCTGACCAGTGGATCTGAGTCTTCAATCTAACACTTCAACAGTTTGGTTTTGTCTGTATAGTATGTATGCTTATGTATGTATGTGTATAAGTCAATGTGTGTGTGTGTGTGTGTGTGTGTGTGTRCGGTATATACCCGTATAAATATAAATTATATAACTGTATAATGTATATCATGTATAAGGTATATAATCTCATGTTTTGTTATATTATACAATAATTTTTGGATAAGAGAGAGAGAGAGAGAGGTTTTACGGTGTAAAGCACTGGTCTATACGGTATGAGTTGGTGGGGTATAACTATCTCACACACATTGTTATGTTAGGCTTTCCCATACTCACACATATATAAAGACAAATACACATTAATACTTTACATAATAAATATTATATATCATATATATATATATAATAAATTGTTATCAAGTTTTACGGCACTGACATAAATCTCTTCAAACTAACAAATGAATGAAATTAAGAAAAATGAATAAAAAAAAGAAGAAGAATAATAGGACTAAACAACAACAACAACGACAACAATACAGAAAACTATTTGCAAAACACAAAAACCTTATCATTTAGCAGAAGAATAATAATAATAATGAAGAAGAAGAAGAAGTAACAGATCATTGCATTACCAATAAATATGTGTTCAGTTATACTGTTATAATAATAATACAGTAATAATAATAATGATAATAATGAAACAAATTGTTTGAGTACAGAGAAAAAAACTGGTTGAATATTATGCAAGTTTTTTATGGTTTGGTTAAACACTTGAAGAGAGAGAGAGAGAGAGAGAGAGAGAGAGAGATCTGAAAGATCTATATCTTTTTTTTGGTGGATTTTGTTTTACATAACAAACAAACAAAAATTCCTTCACATTACTGACCTCAACCACCACCACATACTATACCGCACACCTATACACCCACACCTACCTATCCATCAGTCAATATAAGCTTTATATTTGTGGGCCAAATGTATGCCATATATACTCTACTGTATATATATATATATATATATTTAACAGTCAGACATACACACACACACCTAATGAATACAGATATAGATTGATATCTAATGCGATGATATTGTAAAAAAAGTTTAGGTCATTAATTTTATACCCATTGATAATAAAAATAACTGAATATTTTAAGAATAATTTTTTTTTAATTTAAAAAGATTATCTAATGATTAAATGTTATAAATCATTATCATATAACCCAATAGTTTGTTGTTGTTTTATGATTGTCTTATATTTTATACAATGATTTGGTTTGTTTTTTATAACCTTAAGTTTTTTTTGTCTATAAAATCGTCAAAATTCAAGGTACGGGTATATGATGTGTGTGTGTGTGTGTGTGTGTGTGTGTGTGTGTGTGTGTGTCTTATGAATATTGCATAGCACACACACACACACACATCACATACCTGTACAGCACTAGTCGGTCATTAATCGATTGTGTGATTATCACAACAAAATTACATATATAATCAAAAAAAGTCATACATTAGCTGTTAATCCCTAACACAACAACAAACATAACCCTTCATTTAGATGCCATACACAACACACACACACACACATAGCTGTCATTTAAATGCGATGTAAATGACTGAATGAATCAATGCATGCATCGGTTGACCGATTGTTTGGCATTTTGTTTTGGTTATGTATTTGGAGAGAGAGAGAGAGAGAGAGAGAGAGAGAGAGAGAGAGAGAGAGAGGAGTGAAAAGTTGAGTAAAGTAACAAAAAATACTACCGAAACATCAGATTTATTTTTTTAGTTATTTATTTTATTTTATTTTTTTCTACAGAGAAATGGGATCTAACAAAATTATAGTCAATGATAGCACAGTCAGTCAGTCAAAGAGAGAGAGAGAGAGAGAGAGAGAGAGAGAGAGAGAGAGAGAGCTCAGTCTGTTTGTTAAGATAGTTAACGCCACTCTCTTAAGAGAGTTAGTTAGCAATACTGTCAGTAGTAGTAGTCATGAAACTGGTTTAACTCGTAGTAGTCTTCATCATCTCTACAGTGTATAAGATATCTCGCCCGAGAAAAAAAGGGTACCACCACTTGGTTTGTGAAATAACAGGCCTAAACACACACACACAAAGAGATAGATAAGCACCGTTATGTCAAGGACTCGGACTTATACAATAGAGTTCAGATATACTACAGGTATATAAATACAGTATATATATATATATATAATTTACATATCTATCTGTAACTGTATCTGTACTCTCCTATTGCCACTTAATTCACACATATATTGTAATTTTTTATTTGACGACCAAACCTACCGATCCCCTTATTATTATTATTATTATTAAATGCAGGTTTACTTACCAATGCAATAGGTCTGGCAATAATCATAGTTCTAACTGAACTGTATTTTTATCAACAAAAAATTCATTACATAATAGATTGGTTGTTATGATATATATAACATATAGAAATATATATATAGTATATCAATATATAAATTTTTTTATACCGGTATATAAAGAGGAAATGATATATATATATATTTGTGGGCAAATAATCACAGAAAACTACTACATAATACTGTACAGTATATAAGCATATATAAAATACATATCAAATCAAAAAATGTATAATACAGTGTATAAGCAGCACTTATTATTATTATTATTGGAGCACCGGTAGGTAACAACAAAACTTTTAACTTTACATTTTGTATATTATAAAAAAAATAATACTAGAAAATTATAGTGAATTGATAAGAGAAAAAAATGTTTCCATATTTTTCCAATAAAATTATAGTTTTTAGTAACAAAAAATATTATCCAAAAAAATTTTTTGGTGACTTTTTCTTCCGTATAAATAATGCTTTTGTATGTATTTTTGACATTCAATTGATCACAAAATCAGTCAAATTTTTTTGTTGTTGATCAAAACCCCCTCCCAATTAAAATACCATAAATTTTTTTCAATACATACATAACAATTGCATAAAAAATACATAAACTGTATATAAATTTATATAATATCTGTCAATAACTAAGACACACTAAATAGCATAAAAATATTTTTGTGTTACAAATAAAGTATATAAATCACTAAAAAAAATTTTTTAGAAAAAAGAAACCACATTTTATTAGAAATATTATTCATAAAAAATAAAACAAAAAGTTTATCATTTTTTTGTTTTATTAATTAATTAATTAATTAAAACTTCCACATGAAAAAAGTACATTCAAATTACAATAATAATATTAATAATACGGTAGTAATAAAATAAGTGAAAACTTTTTTTTAAAAAAAAGTCTAATAGGGTTTCCAATATCTAGGAAGTGTCCATCGCTTCGGTAGTGTGTCGGACAATAGTCTCCTCCACTTCCAATGGAATCGATTTAGTTGTCAATACAGCAGTTGTTCCTCTTTTGAAATTATATTTTGCTTGTCTGGTGACACCAAACCAAAGAGAGAGAAAAATTATACACAAAAATAATTATATCAATCAATCAAATTCAGAGTCATTTGAATACGTGATTATCACATAATAGATTTTTGAGAAAAAGAGAGATATATAGAGGGGTCACAAACCGTTGCCCCTTTTTATTAGCCTCTTCATAGGTGCGCAAGTATTGGACACCAGCTTTGGTGATAACGCACAGATCGATATTAGAACCGGAGCCCAAATCGTTGAATATGCCGGCGGCTATGGCGTCTCTGACCAACTTTTTGGCCTCTTCAAGCTAATCACATAATAAATAAAAAAAACAATAGTTTATTAATTACCGACAAAATTATTAAAACCCAACAAATACATACATTCATATCGGGTTTCCAGCCGGACTCGAACACAGCCATTGCGGCCAAAGAGCCGGAACCCATAGTCACATAGGGTAGGCTATCGGTCGAGCCGTGCGGATGAATGCAAAACAATTTCGGTCCGTTATTGTCGACACCTCCCAGTACCAGAGCTGCACCGACATGTCCCTGATATCTGATCAACAAAAAAAAAACAATATATATATATTAATAATCAATGACCAATTATCTTGTTAGATATAAACAACAACAACAACGTCGACAACAACAATAAAACCAGTTTTGAAATTGAAATCAGGCATAAAAATTGCTTAAGGAATGTATGATTTTATTTATTTTTTTATTTGTTTGATGAATGAATGGATAATATAACGAGCCTTTCGGTCAATAATTGTGTTGAGTCTGTCTGTATGTCTGTTAGACCCCTTTTTACATAACATATACCTCTCTCTCTCTCTCATTATTTCACACACACTTGAATAGGTAAACCCCTGACTGACCCTTAAGTTTTGACATTCAAATAAAATAGTTATTTTATATTTTCTGTTTTTTAAAGTCTCTTTTGATAACAGAATTATTATTGTTTTTAATCAAAACAATCGTTTTCTATTCATAAGGGCTTTCAAAATAATGTTATGTTTAAAGTTATGTTTTGTTGTATTTCCTTAATCTTGATATATAAAAAAAATCAAAAAAAAACTAAACTATTCATAAAAATTATTATATATATATATTTAAAGTCTATCCCATAAATAAATGTACATAAAAATTATACTATAAATATGCTTTCAAATACAAATCAAATGTCTTTTTAAAACACTGACCTAACCTTCAAATCAGTTTTTAGATATATATATAGAGAGAGAGAGACTATTATAATAGAGTATATTATATTTAGATAAATAAAAATTATAATTTTTCTTTTTATATAGTTTTTGAATTAAACAGAAAATTGATTCAATGAAATAATACTAATACTAATGATAACCAAAAAAAATCTCACACCACTTAAATCAAATGTTGAGAAAAAAATCATTATATAATAATAATAATCACATTTGATATTCAAATTCAAAAACAATTTTCATATTACTATTTAAGTGATGCTGTTTTGTAATAAAACACAATTTAGATTATATTTTTGTTTGAAATTATATACACATTTTAAAAAAAGATAAGAAACAAATTTATATACAGTAAAAAAACATAAATTAATGATATCATTGCTCGAGTTTTTATTTTATTTCATTTTAAAAGGTAGTGATCGTTGAAATTAGTTTTAACGTTATTTGATTGTAAAGTAAAATATATTTATTTTTTTAAATCACATCAAATTTGCATTTGTATTGAGATTTTTGTTTGTAGATAGCATTTCCCATATATTTATTATTATAACACAATCATCGCTATCTTAATATAGGTTATACTTTTAATATAAGTAAGTTTAATATAATAAAACATATAAAGATAATAAATTGTTTTATAAATTACCGGTAAGTTTTTTTAAAGCAATTAGTACCCCCGACTATTAGTTAAGTAAGTTATAAGTATATTATGATATAAAATGTCTAAAATAGACAAATTATAGTATCAAAAGTTATATATATAATATATAAATATGTATATAAATGAATCATTTATAATGATTTATACCTAAAAAAAAGTTAATGCAAATTTAGTTAATATTTTTCACTATCAAACTAATAAACAACAACACCAACAACAAAAAGTACCGGTAATTGAAAAAAAATTACAACATTTACTAACATAATCTAAAAATATGTTTTTTAAATAATATAAAAGTCAAATATAAATTGCCGGTAGTTTTTAAAAATAATATTATCATACAGTATAACCTCTATTTTAGCTTTTTTTAAAATAATTTCCGGTAATGTAATTTTTAATTAAAAAATTTCAACAACAACAACAAAAAATAATAGACAATCGGTATAATAGCTCAAACACTTATTATTATAATTATTTATACCTAAAAAAAATTGATGCAAATTTTAGGTAATATTTTTTTATTAGATATAATTATAGCCCACACGGAGATAATTGATGAAAGAGAGAGAGAGAGAGAGAGAGAAAGAAAGAGAGAGAAAGAGGTAAACATAGGCCACCTTTTAGTGACCACCTCTAAGAAGACATCACTTATTACTGTATAAACTATTAGGAAAAATCCAACTCTTTTGGGATCAATTAAACAAAAAAACGATAACCATATATGATATGTCTTTAAGCAACAATTGTCTGTAATATGTCTTAGTCTATGTTCACCACCGATGATGAATAATATCAGTAATTATGGATTAACAGTATACATATATATATCGGTTAAATACCTGAACAGATACTGTTTGAGTAGCTGATTGGCGGCCACTACGGGCACCACTTTGCCAGTGTTCAGACGATGCAGTTCCAGTTGCGACGATATCATATTGGTCACAAAAAACGTGTCGGCAGCTGTACCGGCACCGCAACAGTACATATTCGGTGCCAAATAGTGTATCTTTTTGCAGTTCTTGTCGGCCACAATCGTATCGGCAGTGGCCCGAGTGTCGGCACCCAATATTACGCCGTCTTTCCAGATAATGCCGGCAATTGTTGTACCAGTTTTGGTCGCCTTCGGCATCTGATAGCCTTTTGCTGTTAAAAACTGGTTACTGTTTGTGGAAAAAAGTGGACATCAATTAGTGGATCAAATTAGTTGGTCATCAAAAAAACAAAACAAACAAACCGTTGATAGTTTTCGTAGGAGAAGCCGCCGACGGGCAACTCAGGACATATACCGGCAACCGATGTTGACATATTGTTGTTGTTGACCACTACTGACCGATTAATTACCGATTTAATTGTTTTTTTTTTTAATCAAAACTATTGTCTCAAACAAACCGATTGACAAAACAATTATCAAATAATAAGTGATTGTAATTCACAAATGATTCAGCATTTCATAGACAGACACAAGTCGTTCACATAAATAATGTTTAAAAAAATACAGTATTAAATGAAAACTATATTTTCAAACATTCATATATTGGTTATTGAAATGACAGAAAAAAAACTTTTTGTTTGTTAACAATTAATTTAATGCTATTATTATGCTAACTGTCCATCAAATTGTCTCATACACTACCCCAAACCCCAACCCCACCCTCCCGGCCTAACTAACTAAACAAAAACAATTACATTGAAATATAATGCAAAAAAAATTTAAAAAATTCAATTAAACTTTTAGTAGAGTATAACTTTCCATTAGTACTAACTTTATATACACTGTATATAAGTGACTTAAAGTTTTTATTTTAGTATTACTATAAAATAATTGACTGTAAAATAATTATTATTAATAATACAATATTATTATAGTACTGTAATAATCATTTGAATTTTGATTTTAATTCAATTTTTTATTTATTTTATTTTTTTTTTTTGAATATCCAAAGCGCGTGAAATCATTTTTGTTTTAATTATTTATTTAACAATTCAATCGATAATTATTAGTAGTATTATTACCACAGATATCGATACAAAAAAAAAGTTATTACTATAGTATTACTACTAACCGGTGATGAATACAACATTCAAATAAAAAAAAGTGATTGAATTGTTTGCGAGTTTTCAATAAAACAACCAAAAAAATGAGTAAAAAACCCGAAACGAAGGCCAAAAAGCCGAAAAAAGACACAAAACAACAGAAGATGGACGAACTTAAACAAGAAGTGGTTATGGATGAACACAAGATAGCCATCGATGAACTGTACGCCCGACTCGAAACAAAACCCGGAACCGGTCTGACCAGTGGTCAGGCAAAAGCCAAATTCGATAGAGACGGACCAAACAGTTTGACACCGCCGAAGAAAACGCCCGAATGGGTCAAGTTTTGTGGCCAATTGTTCGGTGGATTTGCCCTATTGTTATGGATGGGCGCTATCCTATGTATTCTGGCCTATGGTATACAGTATTTCTCAATCAAAGAACCAGAATTAGACAATGTATTCAATAATATTGTGACACAAAAAAAAATTGATTTTCTAACCATTGATTATTACAGCTATATTTGGGTATAGTATTGGCCGTTGTTGTCATCATTACCGGCTGCTTCTCCTACTATCAGGAGTCCAAGTCATCTGCCATAATGGAGTCGTTCAAAAAACTGGTCCCACAATCGGCTACAGTACTGCGCGACGGCAAAGTGCATACCATTCCCGCCGAAGAGCTAGTTGTGGGCGATATTGTCGAAGTAAAAGGCGGCGATCGGATACCGGCCGACATACGTATTATTAAAGCCGACGGCTGCAAAGTGGACAACTCGTCGCTGACCGGAGAATCGGAACCACAGCCGAGAGGACCAGAGATGACAAATGAGAATCCATTGGAAACCAAGAATTTGGCCTTTTTCTCGTCCAACTGTGTTGAAGGTACCGCTCAGGGAGTTGTCGTCCATACGGGCGACCGTACTATTATGGGTCGTATTGCCGGTCTGACCGCTGGCTTGGAAATGGGCGAAACTCCTATAGCCCGAGAGATACACCATTTCATTAATATCATTACTATATTTGCCATCTTTCTTGGCGTATCATTTTTCATTATAGCCCTCATAATGGGTTACAATTGGTTAGATGCGGTCATATTTCTGATCGGTATCATTGTAGCCAACGTTCCCGAAGGATTGTTGGCCACTGTAACCGTTTGTCTAACATTGACAGCCAAACGTATGGCTGCCAAGAATTGTTTGGTAAAAAATTTGGAAGCAGTCGAAACTCTAGGCTCGACATCTACGATATGTTCAGACAAAACGGGAACTTTAACCCAGAATCGTATGACTGTGGCTCACATGTGGTTTGATGGACGTATCGTTGAAGCCGATACTACTGAGAATAGGACAGGTATTTACCGTAACTTTTTTTTGTGCCAATAATTATTGTCCATTTAGTTATTTCGGGTACCAATTTTAACTATCGATTATCATTCCCCGCCCCAGGAGTTCAATTCGACAAGACATCGATCGGTTGGCAGGCATTGAGTCGGGCCTGTTGTCTATGCAGTAGAGCTGAGTTTAAGGCCAATCAGGAAAATCTACCTATTCTTAAACGGTATGACTACTTGAAAGTATATATATCGGGAATATTGATACTGTTTTTTTTCTGTGTGTTGAAAATGGACAGAGAATGTGTCGGCGATGCCTCTGAGTCGGCAATACTGAAGTGTATGGAAATGGCTATCGGAAATGTAGCCGAAATTCGCCAAAAGAATGCCAAAGTTGGCGAAATACCATTCAATTCGACCAACAAATATCACGTAACGATTCATAAAACTGAGGACAACTCATCTACCGATTCCTGTTATGTTTTATGCATGAAAGGAGCGCCCGAACGCATACTCGAACGGTGCTCTACTATACTTATGAACGGTGAGGACAAACCGCTGGACGACGGCATGAAAACGGCATTCAATGCCGCCTACGAAAAATTGGGCGGACTCGGCGAACGTGTTATCGGTTTCTGTGACTTCAAACTACCCATCAGTCAGTTTCCATCTGGTTTTATCTTTGATACAGAAAAGGCTAACTTTCCATTAGATAGCCTCCGTTTTTTGGGACTGATCGCTATGATAGACCCGCCACGGGCTGCAGTACCCGATGCTGTAGCCAAATGTAGAAGCGCCGGTATCCGAGTAATTATGGTTACCGGAGATCATCCAATTACTGCCAAAGCTATTGCCGAAGCCGTGGGTATTATATCGCCTGAGGGAGCAGCCAATGCAGCTATAGTTCCCGGACAACAGCTCAAAGACATGACACCCGAACAGTTGGATACGATTCTCAGATCGCATAATGAGATTGTCTTTGCCCGGACATCGCCACAACAAAAACTATTCATAGTCGAGGGCTTTCAACGTCAGGGAGCTATCGTTGCCGTCACAGGCGACGGTGTCAATGATTCACCGGCACTCAAGAAGGCCGATATCGGTGTAGCAATGGGTATCGCCGGCTCTGATGTTTCCAAACAGGCCGCAGATATGATACTATTGGACGACAATTTTGCATCGATAGTAACGGGTATTGAAGAGGGAAGACTGATATTTGATAATTTGAAGAAATCCATAGCCTATACTCTATCGAGTAATATACCCGAAATAACACCGTTTCTACTATTCATAGTCCTTGGTATACCGTTACCGTTGGGCACTATAACCATATTGTGTATAGATTTGGGCACTGATATGGTTCCGGCCATATCGCTGGCCTACGAAAAAGCCGAAAGCGATATAATGAAACGCAAGCCAAGAGACTCCAAAAAGGACAGTCTGGTTAATCAACGACTCATTCTACTATCCTATGCCCAGATCGGTATGATTCAGGCAGCGGCCGGTTTCTTCACCTATTTTGTTGTTATGGGTGAATCGGGTTTTAAGGCCAAACGACTTCTAAACATTAGATCCAAATGGGAATCGAAAGCCATCAACGATCTGACCGATTCCTATGGCCAACAGTGGACATACACTCAGCGCAAGAAACTGGAGTATACCTGTCAGACAGCATTTTTTGTCTCAATAGTTATCGTCCAATGGGCCGATCTGATCATCTGCAAGACCCGACGCAACTCAATCATTCAACAAGGAATGACTAATCATGTGCTCAACTTTGCACTGGTATTCGAGACAGTTTTGGCCGCTTTTTTGTGCTACTGTCCCGGTATGGATCTGTTTCTACGATTGTATCCATTGAAGTGGCACTGGTGGCTACCGGCTCTACCATTTTCGGTCATCATATTCATCTACGATGAGATACGCAGATGGCTTATCCGGCGCTATCCGGGAGGTTGTGTTGAACGGGAAACCTATTATTAATACCTGTTTTTATTAGCATTTTATACAATATATACTCTAATATAAGTCATTAATAATTTATAATTTTTAGTCTAACTTTTTTTTAAAATATACTGTATGTTATGAATTGTAAATGTATTTGATTTTAAATAATTATAATATAATACTGTACAATAAATTTGATTATTTTATTTTTTTAAATCTTAAATTAATAGTTAACAAACTAAAGGGTAATTTGTTTGAAAATTTTAATATTGAGTGAATCTTTCAGATACTTATCGGCTGCCAAATGATTGTCCAACAAATAGTATGTGTGTCCCATCTGTTTCGTGTTTCGGATTAATCGATATTGAAATTTGTAAATAAGTTTTGATATCAGTCTGCCTTTGGCTCACACACACACTCTCTCTCACACATACTCTCCCTCACACACACACACTCTCATTCACTTTTTTCTTTGAAGACGGCGTCGACTCTTTCTTTTTCGTCGCCGACTGTTTTGCCGACGGTTCACCCGACAAGTATGGCAGTTACAAGCGCTCGATCCGGTACATCGCTGATTGGCGCGATTCCGGTCGTGCGATCGGCTCCTGGATCGCCGGTTACGTCGGGATCGAGTACGAGAACCTATCGCTTTAGTGTCCCTGCGGACAGCCATTGTGTTCCTTTTCAGGGCAGTTGTGTTCTGTCGTATAGCTGCGGTATGACTATTGATACCACGGGTGTGATATCTTCGGCCGCTACGCGCAGCTGCCTGTTCTACCGGCTGTACCGATGATGACTGTACCGGCGATGACTGTACCGGCGATGACTGTACCGGCGATGACTGTACCGGCGATGACTGTACCGGCGATGACTGTACCGGCGATGACGATGACTGTACCGGCGATGACTGTACCGGCGATGACTGTACCGGCGATGACGATGACTGTACCGGCGATGACTGTACCGGCGATGACTGTACCGGCGATGACTGTACCGGCGATGACTGTACCGGCGATGACGATGACTGTACCGGCGATGACTGTACCGGCGATGACGATGACTGTACCGGCGATGACTGTACCGGCAATGACGATGACTGTACCGGCGATGACGATGACTGTACCGGCGATGACAATGACTGTACCGGCGATGACAATGACTGTACCGGCGATGACTGTACCGGCGATGACTGTACCGGCGATGACTGTACCGGCGGTGACTGTWTCACTGGCTGCTGACTGTCCCGACGGCCCAAAAGCATTTGGCCGACTTGTTCAACAATAGTCGGAATTCTTCTGTCCAGCACCCGATCGATTGCCAACTCCAGTTGCTGTTGGTCTTGGGATTGCGTTGATTCTGTTTTCTCTTTATTTGAAGACATGTCTGACTGAATGACTGTTTAAAATTTTAAATTAAATAATAATAATAATAATTGTTGTATTAATCACGCGTCAAAAATCTCGCGATTAATACAACAATTATTATTATTATTATTTTATTTAAAATTTTAAACAGTCATTCAGTCAGACATGTCTTCAAAGAAAGAGAAAACAAATCCCAACGCAATCACCAGACAAACAATTAAAGACAAAACAACTTCTGGAATGTTTGGAAAGAGTTTGAAGTCAAACACGGAAACGAAGACACCATACGAGAGATGTTACGTATTAAGCGATCGGTGGCCGTGACGTTCAACACACAAGTCAACTATATGACCGCACAGATGTTGGCCGCAGTCAACGGTGGCGGCCGTAGTAGTGAAGCATCGGAACCGACTTCGATGAGCCAATTGGAGACAGACTTCAAGCTTACGAACGAAGAGAAACGTCAACAAAGAACGATATTTAAAGTTACAGCCAAAACATGCAGAAGAATTTGATTACTGCCGATCGTTTGGACGAAGCGGCCATCAAATTGGCCGATATTGTCAACAGAGACGACTTTCTATCGAAAGCCGGCAAATCTAAGCACCAGTTGTGGACCGAATTGAGTGAATTGATTTGCAAGAATCCCGATAAAGTACACTCACTTAACGTTAACGCCATTATACGCGAAGGTATCAAACGATACGCCGATGAACAGGGAATACTGTGGATATCGTTGGCCGAGTACTACATCCGCAGCGGTTTGTTTGAAAAGTCACGCGATATCTATGAAGAAGCCTTACTGTCGGTAACGACGATCAAAGATTTTTCGCAAGTTTTCGACGCCTACGCACAGAGTGAGGAACAGCTGATTAAAGCAACGATGGATATGACAAATCTGAGCGATGACGATGATATTGATCTTGAATTACGAATAGCCCGTTACGAGGATCTAATCGAAAGGCGACCTCTGCTGTTGAATAGTGTAGCCTTAAGACAGAATCCGCATAATGTCGATGAATGGCACAAACGAGTCGGACTGTTAGAGTCAAAACCCGAACAAGTGGTCGAAGTCTATACCGAAGCCGTACAAACCGTAGATCCAAAGTTGGCTGTCGGCAAAGTACATACACTGTGGATTAATTTTGGTAAATTTTACGACCAAAATGGCCAGTTAGAGGACGCCCGAGTGATATTCGAAAAGGCGACTACAGCGGCGTTTACCAAAGTTGATGATTTGGCCGCTGTTTGGTGCGAATGGGTTGAGATGGAGCTCCGACACGACAACTGGAAACAAGCACTACAGCTCATGTACAGGGCTACGGCAGCACCGCCGCCATCGGCCAAGAAAGTGTCCTATCATGACCACACGGAACCGGTACAAAATCGGTTATACAAATCACTGAAGATTTGGTCCATGTATGCCGACCTCGAAGAAAGTTTCGGTACGTTTACCACAACCAAAGCCGTCTACGACCGTATTATTGAGCTAAGGATAGCCACACCTCAAACAATCATGAATTACGGTCTGTTTCTCGAAGAACTTAACTATTATGAGGAGGCGTTCAAAGCCTACGAAAAAGGTATATCACTGTTTCGGTGGCCAAATGTTTACGATATTTGGAACACCTATTTAACAAAATTTTTGAGACGTTATAAAGGCTCGAAACTCGAAAGAGCCAGAGATCTATTTGAACAATGTTTGGCCAATTGTTCGGAAAAAATTGCCAAAAATTTTTATCTATTGTACGCCAAATGCGAAGAAGATTACGGATTAGCTAAACACGCGATGACTATCTATGATCGGGCCGTACAAGCAGTTCTACCTGAAGAACGATACGAATTGTTTAATATATTTGTCCGAAAAGCGGCCGAAATGTTTGGCGTTACTCATACGCAACAAATCTACGAGAAGGCTATCGATGTCCTGAATGATAGCCAGGCCCAGGATATGTGTCTAAAGTTTGCCGAATTGGAGCGAAAGTTGGGTGAAATAGACAGAGCCCGAGGCATATATGGCCACTGCAGCCAAATGTGTGATCCGCGAACTTCGGCCAACTTCTGGAACGTTTGGAGAGTTTGAGGCTAAACACAGAAACGAATACACCATACGAGAGATGTTACGTATTAAGCGATCGGTGGCCGTGACGTTCAACACACAAGTCAACTATATGACCGCACAGATGTAGCCGCAGTCAACGGTGGCAGCCGTAGTAGTGAAGCACAGGAACCGACTTCGATGAGCCAATTGGAGACAGACTTACGAACGAAGAGTCTAATCTGAAAGCGCCGATAATTGGCGCCAACAATTGATTTGTTTTCATTGAATTTCTATTTCATATTATCATATATTTTGGCAATCATTTTGTAAATAATTTATTATTAGTTATTTTTAAATAATTTAATTTTATTACTTATCATTCATCCACTGCTGTGTTTGTGTCTCTAAATTAATAAATCAGTTATCGGTATTTTATTTTTTTATTATTATATAATAATTATTTTCAAAAGAAAAATAAATAATTATATATATATTTATCATAAATTTTGTTTATAAATATTTTTAAAAAAAGTATCAATGACATTGATTGTATGTGCGGATCAGCTAAATGTAGAAAATTTATTTGATAGTGTTTTTTATTTAATTAGAAAAATAAGTATACAGTATAACAAACTAAACAGGTACCCACCCTAACCCCCCTAACCTAATTAATAGTACAGTACTATTCTACTGTATTATTATGATTTTATCTACTATTATACGGGGGTATGGGGGGGGGTTAGGGGTACCAGTGATACTATTAATAATTATACTTTAATTAATTTTATACTAGAGAGAGAGAGAGAGAGAGAGAGAGAGAGAGAGAGAGAGAGAGAGAGAGAGAGAGAGAGAGAGAGAGAGAGAGAGAGAGAGAGAGAGAGAGAGAGAGAGAGAGAGAGAGAGAGAAACAAAAATTAATTGATGTCAACAACAAAAAAAATATTACCGTATTTTTTGTTGTTGTTGTTAACCTTCTATTATATGATTAATCCAATTAATTATTTTGTGATTATTATTATTATTTTTTAATTTAATTAATTATCAATTATTTAGTAGTTTTAAACAATTTTTGTTTAAAAAAAATCAATTTTATACACCACACAATCAATAATTATTTTGTTGTTATTGTTATTTATACAGTACAAATTAATTAATTAATTATTATTATTATTATTTTTGTATATATAAATTATACCAATGTTATTTCAATAATAATAATTAGGATGATGAGGGTAACAATTTTATTTTAATTGAAAAAAAAGTTACTTAAAAATACCTATAAAAAATCATTTTGTTTTTTAGTAATCTTTATAATACATTTTACTACTACTACTACTACTAGTACTATATCATTGTTATCAAAATTAATAAATTCAATACTATTTTAAATCAATTTGATTAATCAATTTTATCATTATCATCATCAAAAATAAATTTATTACAATACAATTTATATTATCATATCGTTTTAATCCGAAATTAGTTTCTATGTATACCTTTTATGTTTATTTAAGGGATTAAAAAGATAACGTTTTGCATGGCTATAGTATAACTTATACTTATTCAAACATTTTTCATGTACAGTAAACTATCAATTTATATATATTTAAACAAAAATAGATATATCTTATAAAAAGTTAAACATTATAATTATATTCAAAAAAAACTTGAAAAGTTTTATAAATGAAAAACTTTTATTACTCACACAATTTGTGACATAAATTTTAGCCGATTTTTGTCTTCGGCCTTAATTGCGGACAAATTATTGCAATATTTGTTTCGGACAGTAATTGTCTCTGTCCTTCATCAGCGCAATTGCTGTACAAACTGACAGCACTGTTGGTCATTAGGTACTTATGGTATGTGAGAGAGTGACCAGAAATGTGATAATTGATACCCTATTTGTGCCATAAAACATATTTTTTGGGTAGTTTTGACTTAAATTGTTTACTAATCATTTAAATACTGTACAAAAAATTCAATAATATAATCATTGCTCCCACAGAAACTGGCAAATGCCAGCTCCTGTAGGAATAAACTAAAAATTAATTAATAAATTCTAAATATTGATTAGGAATGTTTGTTTTATCGTTAAATTTATCATTCATTAATGGTACATTTTTTAATTTATTAGTAGCAATATACCATTTTTCTAAAAATTTTCTAGATTTATTATTATTTTCGTGAATTAAAATTTTAGGGTTATTAAAATTTATATTATGTTTTGTTTTAAATGAATGTTCAGCAATATTAGATTTTATATTGAAATTATTTAAAGCTTTTTTGTGTTCATTTAATCTACTATTTAACTTTCTTTTAGTTTCTCCTATATATTCACAGTTACAATTAGTACAACTTATATCATATACTACACCTGATTTATCTAAAATATTATCATTAAAATTATGTTTTAATAAAGTTTTTATATTTTTACCTCTATTATATATAACTTTAATATTATATTTATTGAATAAGCATTTTAAATGTTGACTTAATCCCTTATAATATGGAAGTATAATAGTGTTTGAAAAATTAAATGCAAATTTATTAATATTAGGACTAGTTGTATTTAATTTAGTATTGTTAATAATCATATTTATTAAATTTTTTGGATAGTTATTTTTTAGTAAAATACTATATATATTWTTCAATTCATCATCGAGATCTTTATTATTATTGCAATGATTAAAAGCTCTATTTACTAAAGTTTTTATAACAGATATTTTATATTGAATTGGATGATGAGACCGAAAATTTAAATACCTATTTGAATGGGAAGGTTTTCGGTATACACTTGTATATAATTTATTATCTACTTTTTTAATTAAAACATCTAAAAACGGTAAAATACCTTGATCATTTTCTTTTTCAACTGTAAATTTAATTGAATTCATATAACTACATGTTTTATTTATGTGTTGCACAAATAAATCGGCATATCTTTTATTTATAATTAAAAACGAATCAACTACATAAAATTTAATAAATTTAGGTTTATAGCTAAATGTTTCAATAGCTTTTTCAAATATAAATCTAACTATACATTCACCTATAACAGGTGATAGAGGACAGCCCATAGGGGCACCTGCTATTTGTTTGTAATATATTTCATTAAATAAAAAAGTATTATTTGACATACAAAATTTTATTAAATTTATTATTTCTATAATTGGTAAACTAGTTAAATTAGATAAATTACTGTAATTTTTTAAATAGTTTTCTAATATATTAATTGCTATATTAATTGGTATATTTGTAAAAAGGTTTACAATATCTAATGATAGCATTATATCATTTTTTGTTAATTTTATTTTATTAATTTCATTACAAAATTCATTTGAACATTTTAGAGAATATATACTATTTCTAATAATAGGGCTAATAATATTACTTAAATATTTAGATAATTTATTTAAAGGGTAATTATAATATGGACAGATAATTCTACATGGATTATTTAATTTATGTGTTTTAACTAGTCCATATATTACAGGCGTACTGTAATTGTTAGGATACAAAGATTTATATTGATTGTAATTAATATAATTTGATTTAATTAATCTATTTAATATATCAATTAATTTACTAGCAATTATTTTTGTTTTATCTTTACTTAATTTTTCATAAATTTTGGTATCTGATAATATATTTTCTATTTTATTAATATAGTCAATACTATTTAAAATGACTGTTTTATTACCTTTATCAGCACTAGTTATAACAATATTTTTATCATTTCTTAAATTTTTAAGACATTTATATTGATTTATTGTTAAATTAGTAATTGGTTTTTTGTAGTTTTTAATTAAATTAACTATAGAATTTCTAACAGTTGCTAATTCAATTTTATCAGTTATTAAATTAGATAATCTGTTTTCTGTATATGCTAATAATGTATTTATTTTAATATCTTTAGGAGTTATTTGAAATTTAGGGTCTAATGCTAATATAGTTTTTTCAGTTTCAGTTAATTTTTTATTAGACAGATTAATAATCCAATCATTATTATTTATGGATAAATTATTATCAATAAATCTGGTATTTAATTTATCAAATTTATATTTTTGTGTTTTTCTATATTTAAATTTATTGTATTTACTAGTTTTATTAACTCTTTTTTTCTAACATATTTATTACAAACTTTGGTAAAATGTTACTTAATTCAATAAATATATTATTACAAACTTTTCTCAATTTAGCTAATTTTATTTGTGTTTGAATAATTCTAGAGTTTAAATATTTTAAACTACATTCATTGGAAGCTTTTCTACTTAAATAAAAATTATCAATAGGTTTTATAAGTAATGATTGAGGGATAACTTTATTTTTGGCACATTTAATATTAAAGGTTAAGTGTTCTTGGTACCTTACCATTTTGATGCACTCTCTCTCCCATTTTTTCCCCATTTGTAGACCATTATGTCCTCCATATTGATTAATAAGTTGATTTAGGTTTATGTTATCACAATCACTCATTATAAATGAAAAACTTTTATTACTCACACAATTTGTGACATAAATTTTAGCCGATTTTTGTCTTCGGCCTTAATTGCGGACAAATTATTGCAATATTTGTTTCGGACAGTAATTGTCTCTGTCCTTCATCAGCGCAATTGCTGTACAAACTGACAGCACTGTTGGTCATTAGGTACTTATGGTATGTGAGAGAGTGACCAGAAATGTGATAATTGATACCCTATTTGTGCCATAAAACATATTTTTTGGGTAGTTTTGACTTAAATTGTTTACTAATCATTTAAATACTGTACAAAAAATTCTGTGGGAGCAATGATTATATTATTGAATTTTTTCTACAGTAGTTAAGAAAATTTTTTTAAAGTATAGATTTGAATAAAGCATCAAAAACAAGCATAATAAATATGCATTAAAATTTTGATATCTCTTMGGGAACAGAGAAAATGGCGGCCAAAGTAAAGAAAATTTTAAGAAAATTTTTTTAAAGTATAGATTTGAATAAAGCATCAAAAACAAGCATAATAAATATGCATTAAAATTTTGATATCTCTTCGGGAACATAGAGAAAATGGCGGCCAAAGTAAAAAAATTTAGGTAAAAATTTTAACGTTTAGAATTGTATAGAGCATCAAAAATAAGATATAATTGATCAAAAAAAATTTTCAAAAATGGCGGAAAAAGTATAAAAAATTTTAGGTAAAAATTTTAACGTTTAGAATTGTATAGATCATTAAAAATAAGATATAGATCAAAATTATCAATATTTAAAAAGTATGATTATAGTTGTTTATTTTGTTATACTAAATCATTTGATACCACATATGAGTAGTTTATTTTGTCATACTGAGTCACTTGATATCCTGCATGACTATAGTTAAGTATATTATGTCATACTGAGACATTTGA